CCACTCAACCCGTAATGAAGCGCACCTATTCTTTCATGGCAAACATCTTCAGAGCGGGAACCAATTCCGTAAAAAATACACTTCATTTCCAGATTCACCCATTACTTTCACTCGAAATGGAAGTGAACTCCACATTTATGAAACAAGAGATTCCTCGAAACCAAACTTTTCTTTGCATATATTTATCAAGCCAATGCTTCCCTCATTAAACTGGCCAAATATTTCCTGTACCCTCCGTGGGTCGCTGTTACTGTTTGTATTTTACTGCGTAAAAGCGATTGCACCTCGCAATTGGTATATGTCTTCTTTTCCTTAGTCCAACGTGTCGCTTGCAATCGCAAGTTTGCACAAACGAGACTCAACAAATTAAAAGACTGCATCACTTCTCCGGCCGTAGGCCTTTTTGGCTTAATACGCCCAACTACATGAGCGCTCAGGAGCAGCCGACTGGTCAGGGAAACACGAGTCGTCATGGCCACAGCTACCCATACCCCATATGTGTGAACTTATCCCTCACATCCTGCCTTCTGAACCGCGTTATTTAGACTTTACTAAGCCTGCATCAGGAATGGTGGTGTCAATCCCATCCTTAGATTGTCTCTTTACATGGCTCGGGTCGCTGACCCGAGTACCATCCGCCGGCCGATAGTGCTTACATGCAAAGGGTCACTCCCTTCACCCCACAACGGGCTCATATGCTACTGATCCTCCCATTCTCTTTGGCGGATCCGTTTAAAGACCCTGTGGTTGTGATCTGGACGCATGACGAGCCCGTGTCATCCTTGAGAGAGGCACGCGACTGAATGGGCTGACCGAATGCTGCTAAGGAAATTTCTCCAGTTTCATCATCAATCACTCGGTCAGGCTTAAAGGACTCATTGCCAAAATCGAAAGTAGTCAAGCGGGGATATGCAAATTGATCCTACCAAGAGATCCATAGACAAGGTTCGATTTGCGAGTGAATGGGATTCTGGTAAATTTCTTAATTGTATTTTAGCGGCAAAATTAATATCGATCTGGCCACATGAAATTCGAGTATAAAAGGGGCAAAAGCGAATAAAGGGTTAGAAAAGCCAAAGATATTAAAATGTCTTGCCGTACCAGCTGCAGTCCCGAGGTCGAGCAGGCCATCAACAATGGCATCAACATGCATTTCTCGGGCGAGATCACGTACAACTACCTCGCCTCCATTTGTATCTATGACAACATTTCGATGCCCTGTTTCGGCGAGTTCCTGCGCCTCTGCGGCATGCGCATGCGCCACACCGCCGAGCAGATGGTCAAGTACCAACTGATCCGAGGCGGACAATGGCAGATGTCCGAGGGTCTGAAGCCGTTGGTCGCGTTGCCCGTGATCAATCAGAATGATGACATCAACAGCATGATATGGCGCTTGATGGAACTGGGCCTGGAGACGGAGCGGAGCACAGAGAAGTACCTGCGCGAGCTGTGCCAGGTGGCGAGCAGCAAACAGGACGTCGAAACTTGCGGATTCGTGCAGAGCTCTCTGATCAAGCAGCAACGTTTCGTCCTCAAAGTGATGGTCATGCACCAGACCGGACTCACTGCCAGCCAGAACGCCTGGCTCTACTGCAACATGGTGATCACTCCTTTTGTGCGTGAAGTCAAGGAGCTTATTGAAAACAACAAAATCAGCTCCAAATTTAGCCATTATAACACGAGCAGCAGCACGAGTAGCAGTAGCCATGAGAGTGGTAAAGTAATGAATTCTGGAAATTCATTAGTGCGTCTTTTCTCCATGAGTTTTCTCAGTTGAACTACATTTGATGCATGAGCTTGTTTAATAAAATCTAGCCCATTATTAAGCTCTTCTTTGATGCTGCAAAGTTGGTTGGAACATTGGATAACAATTCATCTGTCTTGAATGGGCTGGCCACGGCCATTCGGCCAGCGTTTCTACGAGCTAAAAGTACTTGATACATTATTTCTTATTCGATGGTGTGAAGAGCAGGCTGGTGTGGTCGTTTGTATGGCCGGGGTCTCCTTTCGATGTATACAAGTGGTTTGACCTTGTGTCCGCAACTTGGTAATATTGGTAGGAAGACTTGGAGGAACGCATTTAGTCCGGAATCCATTGTATGCATGCGAATTTACAAAGTCTGATCGTGGACGTGGTACATTCCCAGACGTTTCGCCGGCATCGTCCGTGAGTCTTGCCATACTTAGCACAGCACTACAACTCGTCAAAGAGACAAGTGAACTCGATTCTTTGACCAAACGTGTGCTAAACAGTTGTGGTATCTCTTCTGTCCTGGGATATTCACCTATCCTATAACCTCGTATCACCCCCTCAATATCACACTTTCTAACTTGTTTGTCCAGACTCTGGACCTATTTGAAATCTATTCACACTCTCCTATGGTTTCCTCATCACTCCCACTGTGCTGGGAGTGTTGATCCAAGGCTGCGGTTTAATCCGCATTCTTCACTCTTCGGGTCCTATCAGAGTCCCCTCTGATTCAGTGCTTTCACCCATTCGTCGCCACCGTATCCGTGCTACTTTCAAGGCATTGTTCTATTCTCTAACCCAAGCCTTCGATAGTACGTCTACATCAGCCTTACTGAGCAAGCCCCTAAAGTCTGGATTCGCATTTGGCATGGCAACCTAACTTGACGCTGCAGATTCACTTATCGCTCTGCCGCATGTGCACCGAGTGAA